TGACCACCTTCTATCAAGACTGAAGGACTGACCACCTTCTATCAAGACTGAGGGACTGACCACCTTCTATCAAGACTGAGGGACTGACCACCTTCTATCAAGACTGAGGCTGGGCCACCTTCTTATCAAGACTGAAGGACTGACCACCTTCTATCAAGACTGAAGGACTGACCACCTTCTATCAAGACTGAGGGACTGACCACCTTCTATCAAGACTGAAGGACTGACCACCTTCTATCAAGACTGAGGGACTGACCACCTTCTATCAAGACTGAGGGACTGACCACCTTCTATCAAGACTGAGGGACCCGAACCCTTTTATCAAGACTGAGGGGGCTGACCCCTTCTATCAAGACTGAGGGACTGACCACCTTCTATCAAGACTGAGAGACTAACAACCCTCTATCAAGACTGAGGGACTGACAACCTTCTATCAAGACTGAGGGACTGACCACCTTCTATCAAGACTGAGGGACTGACCACCTTCTATCAAGACTGAAGGACTGACCACCTTCTATCAAGACTGAGGGACTGACCACCTTCTATCAAGACTGAGGGACTGACCCCTTCTATCAAGACTGGGGGGGACTGACCACCTTCTATCAGACTGGGGACTGACAACCTTCTATCAAGACTGAGGGACTGCCACCTTCTATCAAGACGGGGGACTGACCACCTTCTATCAAGACTGAGGGACTGACCACCTTCTATCAAGACTGAGGGATTGACCACCTTCTATCAAGACTGAGGGACTTACCACCTTCTATCAAGACTGAGGGACTGCCACCTTCTATCAAGACTGAGGGACTGACCACCTTCATCAAGGGCTGAGGGACTGACCACCTTCTATCAAGACTGAGGGACTGACCACCTTCTATCAAGACTGAGGGACTGACCACCTTCTATCAAGACTGAGGGACTGACCACCTTCTATCAAGACTGAAAGACTGACCACCTTCTATCAAGACTGAGGGACTGACCACCTTCTATCAAGACTGAAGGACTGACCCCTTCTATCAAGACTTTAGGGAAATGACCCACCTTCTATCAGACTGAAGGGACTGACCACCTTCTATCAAGACTGAAGGACTGACACCTTCTATCAAGACCTGAGGACTGACCACCTTCTATCAAGACTGAAAGACTGACCACCTTCTATCAAGACTGAGGGACTGACCACCTTCTATCAAGACTGAAAGACTGACCACCTTCTATCAAGACTGAGGGACTGACCACCTTCTATCAAGACTGAAGGAGTGAAACCCCTTCTATCAAGATGAGGGACTGACCCCTTCTATCCAAGACTGAAGGACTTTACCACCTTTATCAAGACTGAAGGACTGACCACCTTCTATCAAGACTGAAAGATGACCACCTTTCTACAAGCTGAGGGACTGACCACCTTCTATCAAGACTGAAGGACTGACCACCTTCTATCAAGACTGAAGGACTGACCACCTTCTATCAAGACTGAAAGACTGACCACATTCTATCAAGACTGAGGGACTGACCACCTTCTATCAAGAAATGGAAAGACTGACCAAACCTTCTATCAAGACTGAGGGACTGACCACCTTCTATCAAGACTGAAGGACTGACCACCTTCTATCAAGACTGAGGGACTGACCACCTTCTACCAAGGCTGAGGGACTAACCACCTTCTATTAAGACTGAGGGACTGACCACCTTCTATCAAGACTGAGGGCACTGACCACCTTCTATCAAGACTGAGGGAGTGACCAAACCCTTTTATCAAGACTGAAGGACTGACCACCTTCTATCAAGACTGAGGGACTGACCACCTTCTCTCAAGACTGAGGGACTGACCACCTTCTATCAAGACTGAAGGGACTGACCACCTTCTATCAAGACTGAGGGACTGACCACCTTCTATCAAGACTGAGGGACTGACCACCTTCTATCAAGACTGAGGGACTGACCACCTTCTATCAAGACTGAAGGACTGACCACCTTCTATCAAGACTGAGGGACTGACCACCTTCTACCAAGGCTGAGGGACTGACCACCTTCTATTAAGACTGAGGGACTGACCACCTTCTATCAAGACTGAGGGACTGACCACCTTCTATCAAGACTGAGGGAGTGACCGCCTTCTATCAAGACTGAAGGACTGACCACCTTCTATCAAGCCTGAGGGACTGACCACCTTCTATCAAGACTGAGGGACTGACCACCTTCTATCAAGACTGAGGGACTGACAACCTTCTATCAAGCCTGAGGGACTGACCACCTTCTATACAAGACTGAGAGACTGACCACCTTCTATCAAGCTGAGGACTGACCACCTTCTATCAAGACTGAGAGACTGACCCCCTTCTATCAAGCTGAGGGACTGACCACCTTCTATCAAGACTGAGGGACTGACCACCTTCTATCAAGACTGAGGGACTGACAACCTTCTATCAAGCCTGAGGGACTGACCACCTTCTATCAAGACTGAGGGACTGACCACCTTCTATCAAGACTGAGGGACTGAACCTTCTATCAAGACTGAGGGACTGACCACCTTCTATCAAGACTGAGGGACTGCCACCTTCTATCAAGAATGAGGGACCCGACCACCTTCTTACAAGACTGAGGGACTGAAAAACCTTCTATCAAGACTGGGGGGACTGACCACCTTCTATCAAGACTGAGGGGCTGACACCTTCTATCAAGACTGAGGGACTGACCACCTTCTATCAAGACTGAGGGCCGACCACCTCTTTTTCAAGATGAGGGACTGACCACCTTCTATCAAGACTGAGGGACTGACCACCTCTATCAAGACTGAGGGACTGACCACCCCTTTTATCAAGACTGAGGGACTGACAACCTTCTATCAAGACTGAGGACTGACCACCTTTATCAAGACTGAAAACTGACCACCTTCTATCAAGACTGAGGGAGTGACCACCTTCTATCAAGACTGAAGGACTGACCCCCTTCTATCAAGACTGAGGGACTGACCACCTTCTACAAGACCGAGGGAATGACCACCTTCTATCAAGACTGAGGGACTGACCAACCCTTTTATCAAGACGAAGGACTGACCACCTTCTATCAAGACTGAAAGACTGACCACCTTCTATCAAGACTGAGGGACTGACCACCTTCTATCAAAACTGAAGGACTGACCCCCCTTCTAAACAGACTGGGGACTGACCACCTTTCTAAACAAGACCGAGGGACTGACCACCCCTTTATCAAGACTGAGGGACCCGACCACCTTTTATCAAGACTGAGGGACTGACCACTTTTTTCAAGACTGAGGCTGACCACCTTCTATCAAGACTGAGGGACTGACCACCTTCTATCAAGACTGAGGGACTGACCACCTTCTATCAAGACTGAGGGACTGACTACCTTCTATCAAGACTGAGGGACTGACCACCTTCTATCAAGATGAGGGACTGACCCTTCTATCAAGACTGAGGACTGACCACCTTCTATCAAGACGAGGGACTGACCACCTTCTATCAAGACTGAGGGACTGACCACCTTCTATCAAGACTGAGGGACTGACCACCTTTTATCAAGACTGAGGGACTGACTACCTTCTATCAAGACTGAGGGACTGACCACCTTCTATCAAGACTGAGGGACTGACCACCTTCTATCAAGACTGAGGGACTGACCACCTTCTATCAAGACTGAGGGACTGACCACCTTCTATCAAGACTGAGGGACTGACCACCTTCTATCAAGACTGAGGGACTGACCACCTTCTATCAAGACTGAGGGACTGGGCACCTTCTATCAAGACTGAGGGGCTGACCACCTTCTATCAAGACTGAGGGACTGACCACCTTCTATCAAGACTGAGGGACTGACCACCTTCTATCAAGACTGAGGGACTGACAACCTTCTATCAAGACTGAGGGACTGACCACCTTCTATCAAGACTGAGGGACTGACCACCTTCTATCAAGACTGAGGGACTGACCACCTTCTATCAAGACTGAGGGACTGACCACCTTCTATCAAGAGGGGGGGGATCGACCACCTTCTATCAAGACTGAGGGACTGACCCCCCTTCTATCAAGACTGAGGGACTGACCACCTTCTATCAAGGGCCCGGGATGACCACCTTCTACAAGACTGAGGGACTGACCACCTTCTATCAAGACTGAGGGACTGACCACCTCCTATCAAGACTGAGGGACTGACCACCTTCTATCAAGACTGAGGGACTGACCACCTTCTATCAAGACTGAGGGACTGACCACCTTCTATCAAGACTGAGGGACTGACAAACCTTCTATCAAGACTGAGGGACTGAAACCACCTTTATTTTTCAAAAAACTGAGGACTGACCACCTTCTATCAAGAAATGAGGGACGACCACCTTCTACAAGACTGAGGGACTGACCACCTTCTATCAAGACTGAGGGACTGACTACCTTCTATCAAGACTGAGGGACTGACCACCTCAAGCTTACATCTCTACGTCCACCGTCTCCAGTGCTGTATTCGACTGAAGAAACCTTTTCATATTTTAAATGAAATAAGCAAAACATATATTTTGGAGTTTCTGTCACGAGTTTTTAAAGAATTTTCTAAAAATTTTGGGGAAATTTTAATTTTACAGCAAAAATTTGGTGCCAAAACAGACTCGCCAGACTGACAGTCAGACTGACAGCCAGACTGACAAGCAGACTGACAGCCTGACTGACAGCCAGACTGACAGTCAGACTGACAGCCAGACTGACAAGCAGACTGACAGCCTGACTGACAGCCAGACTGACAGCCTGACTGACAGCCTGACTGACAGCCAGACTGACAGAAAAAACTGACAGAAAAAACTGACAGCCAGACTGACAGTCAGGCTGATAGTCAGACTGACAGCCAGACTGACAGCCAGACTGACAGCCAGACTGACAGCCAGACTGACAGCCAGATTGACAGTCAGACTGACAGCCAGACTGACAGTCAGACTGACAGTCAGACGGACAGCCAGACTGACAGCCAGACTGACAGTCAGGCTGACAGCCAGACGGACAGCCAGACTGACAGCCAGATTGACAGCCAGACTGACAGCCAGACTGACAGCCAGACTGACAGCCAGACTGACAGACATTCACCAGGTTGACAGCTATATTGACAGAGAGTCACCAGGTTGACAGAGTCACCAGGTTGACAGTCACTAGGCTGACAGAGAGTCACTAGGTTGACAGAGTCACCAGGTTGACAGAGTCACTAGGTTGACAGATTCACTAGGTTGACAGAGAGTCACTAGGTTGACAGAGTCACCAGGTTGACAGAGTCACCAGGTTGACAGAGTCACTAGGTTGACAGAGTCACTAGGTTGACAGAGAGTCACTAGGTTGACAGAGTCACTAGGTCGACAGAGAGTCACTAGGTTGACAGAGTCACCAGGTTGACAGTCACCAGGTTGACAGAGTCACTAGGTTGGCAGAGAGTCACTAGGTTGGCGGAGTCACCAGGTTGACAGACACCAGACTGACAGATACTCACCAGGTTGAGACTCACCAGGTTGACAGACACCAGACTGACAGAGACTCACCAGGTTGATGGAAGCAACTAACAGAGTTGATCTCGGGACGGCAGAGTTGAGGACCTGGTAGGTGAGGAACCTGTCTTGTACAGTCAGGCTGAAACTCTGGACGATGCCTCCTGTCAGGTCCTGCAGGGCCCTGGTGGTGAACCCTTGTTGCAGGGACTCGTAGCTGCCGTAAAGCCTGAAGCAGCAGCAGCAGTATCAGTAGCAGCAGCAGTATCAGTAGCAGCAGCAGTATCAGTAGCAACAGGAAAAATATAAGAAATTCTTAAGATGTTCATCTTAGTGTCAAGTTCTGTGTGTGATATATATATATATATATATATATATATATATATATATATATATATATATATATATATATATATATATATATATATATATATATATATATATATATATATATATTACTAGGTAGTAGGTTGGTAGACAGCAACCACCCAGGGAGGTACTACCGTCCTGCCAAGTGAGTGTAAAACGGAAACCTGTAATGGTTTTACATGATGGTTGGATTGCTGGTGTCCATTTTTCTGTCTCATAAACATGCAAGGTTTCAGGTACGTCTTGCTACTTCTACTTACACTTAGGTCACACTACACATACATGTACAAGCACATATATACACACCCCTCTGGGTTTTCTTCTATTTTCTTTCTAGTTCTTATTTTTGTTTATTTCCTCTTATCTCCATGGGGAAGTGGAACAGAATTCTTCCTCCATAAGCCATGTGTGTTGTAAGAGGCGACTAAAATGCCGGGAGCAAGGGGCTAGTAACCTCTTCTCCTGTATATATTACTAAATGTAAAAGGAGAAACTTTCGTTTTTCCTTGTGGGCCACCCTGCCTCGGTGGGATACGGCCGGTGTGTTGAAAGAAAGAAATATATATATATATATATATATATATATATATATATATATATATATATATATATATATATATATATATATGTATATATGTTACCTTACTTACACTCCGACAGCACGACACGTCATAAAAACAATTTGTCTACACTTGCTCCTCTCTAACACGCTTACGCATGCTTGCTGGAAGTCCAAGCCCCTCGCACACAAAACCTCCTTTACCCCCTCCCTCCAACCTTTCTTAGTCCGACACCTACCCCGCCTTCCTTCCAATACAGATTTATACACTCTCGAAGCCATTCTTTTTGTTCCATCCTCCATACATATTTGAACCACCTCAACAACCCCTCCTTAGCACTCTGGGTAATAGTTTTGGAAATCCCGCACCTCCTTCTAATCTCCAAACTACGGATTCTCTGCATTATATTCACACCACACATCGCCTTTAGACACGACATCTCCACTGCCTCCAGCCTTCTCCTTGTTGCAACATTCACCACCCATGCTTCACATCCACACAGAGCGTTGGTAAAACTATATTCTCATACATTCCCCTCTTTGCTTCCACGGACAAAGTTTTTTGTCTTCACAGACTCCTCAGTGCACCACTCACCTTTTTCCCCTCGTCAGTTCTATGATTCATCTCATCTCTCACAGACCCAGCTGCTGACACATCCACTAATTATTACAAATCCACTAATCATACACACAGATATACAAGGATAGTACTTTCCTTTTTAAGTTCTAACTCACTGGACATCAACTCTCACTAGACAAAAACTTGTACTAACTTGGCATAAGCTTTCTCCAGAAGAGCAGCCCAGAACTCTGAAGGGTCGGTGGAGTGTAGGTAGACCAGACGACCCTTGAATGTAGGTAGACGGTCGTCGATGATGACCTCAACCCATTCTCCGAAGTGCCAGAAACGGAACCTGTAACAGGGTGATTAGGGAGATGGTGTCAGGGTGATTAGACGAGGTTGATGTATGAGGTTGAATAGTGACCCTTTGCTACTTGCTTCAGATCACTGAGGTCAGCAGCAGGGCGGGTCACTGTAGTCAGCAGCATGGAGAGTCAGTGTAGTCAGCAGCAGGGAGAGTCAGTGTAGTCAGCAGCAGGGAGAGTCAGCAGCAGGGAGAGTCAGCAGCAGGAAGAGTTAGCAGCAGGGAGAGTCAGCAGCAGGGAGAGTCAGCAGCAGGGAGAGTTCAACGAAAGGAAAGTGCTTAGAAAGCATAAAAAATATCCTGAGAGGGAGCAGATGGCAAGGGAGAGGGAAGAGGGAAAGGGAGGAGAAAGGAAGGAGGGAGGGAGAGTGATGGAGGTAGAAGGAGAGAGAGTGTGAAAAAGGAGCCAGGGTGGAAAGGGTTAGCGAGCGATGGAAGGGAAGTGTTGGGAGATCAAAGGGGGATTGAATCCTGTGTGTGTGTGTGTGTGTGTGTGTGTGTGTGTGTGTGTGTGTGTGTGTGTGTGTGTGTGTGTGTGTGTGTGTGTGTGTGTCTACTTCAACGAGACCATCTTTCTAGTCTCTGAAGGCAGTGATGGGATGGTTCATGCAGCAAGGAGGGGCTGACATCAGGGACTTACAAGAAGGCAAAACCTTAGTCAGACGAAACGTCAGGACAATTTTTAATCTGGTGAAAGGACTCCTGGTTTTGTCTTCCGTTGAAGACGATTTTCCTGGTATTTTGTTCTTTATTTCATCTGGCTCTTATGCCTAGCTTGTTATAACCATTCCTTGGCAAGCAGTGCAACATCACCCCAATGAACAGCAACGGCGCCATGATTACACTAGGAGATAACACAATAAGTGTCAGGGGCCCAAGATTGTTCAGAAGCCATACCTAACATTCCCTCCCAGATCATCCTGGCGGCAGCCCCACTGGGTCGTCAGTTTATCAAAACAGTCATCGAGGATAGACTGACCTGCAGTGTATGGGTTCTGACAATGCCTTGCACCTACTCACGAGGTGTCTCACTCAGCCCAGACTACCTATTTCTTAAGGTGCTCGCCATCCTTCGACAACCCAACACTCAGTGAACATGACTCACTCCTGAGATTCATCTTTTGGAAAGCACTGAATCTGTCACTGGAAGATCCAGGAACCTTTCCAATGCAACTTGGAGGTATTGGGGTGTGCAAGGCAACGCAGGTAACATTACCTACATTTCTGTCCTCGTGTACTATTGAAGAAGACCGTGAACTACTGAAAAGGATAGTGAACTAGCGAAAGAGACAGTGAACTAGTGGTGGAGATAGTTCCAGATGTCTTGAGAAGTGTTGTAGGAGCTCAAGCCTGGACAAGGCTCAAGGAAGCAGCAATTCGGTGGGACAGCCATATAGACTCTTCAAGCAGACCAACTCACCCCAGGAGATCACAGAGCGTAATATTAAGACAATCATCACGGAGAAAAATTACCCAGTGTTCAACAGTGCCCCAGGAGAGGACAAAGTTCGCTTCCTTGCAGTGAAGGAACCACATGCCGGGGATTTCTTTTTGGCTGTCCATAATTCCTCCCTGGGCACTTGCCTCCACCCTTAAGCAATACGGATGGGTGTAGCTCCTGGTCTAGCAGTTCCCATACTCACCAAACACAGTTGCATTTGTGGCAGGGCGTCAGCTGATCAATTCGGTGTTCATGGTCTCGTGTGTTATACATCAGAAGGGAAGTATGCTAGACATGAGGAGGTCAACGATATCATAAAGACGAGCCTCGCCACAGTCCGTTGCCCAGCTGAACGGGAACCCTAAGTACTGATGTCTGACGGAAGTCAAAAGCATCCAGATGGAGTCACTATGCTACCCTGGAAGGATGGTAAGCAGATTGCCTGGGACTACAAATGTGCTGCCACGTTGGCGGACACCTGCTTGTCATACTCTGAAGCTGAAGGGGGTGGAGCCGCCCAGTTCATGGAGACCCAGAAGACTCATAAACACAAAGGGCTGCCACCCTGCTATAACTTCATCCCAGTAGGGTCGAAAACCCTCGGAGCATGGGGCAAGTGTGCTCGAAAATTCCTCAAAGAGTTAAGTGGAAAAACTCATCACAGAAACCAAGGATCCCAGAGCGGTGGAGGCTCGGTCCTCCGTCCTCACATCACAACAAGCAGGGGAAGGGGGACCTTCCCCTCCCTCTCCCTTCCCCCCCAATCTGCTGGAACACAGTAAAAAATAGATCTAAAAAAAGAAATATGTGAGTGAAAAGACAATACTTTGACATATATTTACTTTGACATATATTTACTTTGACATATATTTACTTTGACATATATTTACATTGACATATATTTACTTTGACATATATTTACTTTGACATATATTTACTTTGACATATATTTACTTTGACATATATTTACTTTGACATATATTTACATTGCAATGTCCGATTCAAAAATTACCGAAAGATGTTTATTGTTCGAAAATATTTCGTCTGTTCACTGTCGTTTACTTTCGTTTTTACCTTCGTTTACCTTTTCGTTACTTTCGCTATCTTCGTTATCTTCGTTTACCTTTTCTTACTTTCGTTAGCTTCGTTACCTTCGTTTACCTTCGTTTGCCTTCGTTTAAAGCTTAATTCCTCTCTCGTTTAAGACATATCCTCCTTTGAGACTTAGTTCTTCTCGTTTATCACGTTGCATCTCAACCGCAGTGGATGGAAATTTGTTGGCAAAACAGGGACTAAAGGATTGAAGAAAGTTGAAAAAACAACACATGAGAGAACCAATTCCTTAGTTATATAAATGGATAACAGGTCCTAGTCGGAATATTAAGCTGAGGCAAGACACCTTCTCCATGCCTAAAAAATCCACCAGCTTTAAAAAAGATTATATACAACCCCCCACCGAACAGCAGCAGCACGAGGACAGCCAATACTTGCTCACCTGAAGATGCCACAGTAAGTATGGTCAAAGGCCTGGTCAGGAGGGACGACCCTGTCGAGGAACTTGGGTGTCAGGGTGAGGGTCGACACGGCTTGGACCAGCCAAGTGTCCCCCAGCTCGCCCTGCTCTACGTCGAAGCGCGTCGCTCCGTCCGCGATGAATTTCGGCCTGGCGCAGACCTCCTGAAGTGAGAGGAAGATTAGTCATCTCCTGAAGAGGAAGAGTGTATGTCTCCTGAAGTGAGAGGAAGATTAGTCATCTCCTGAAGAGGAAGATTGTATGTCTCCTGAAGTGAGAGGAAGATTAGTCATCTCCTGAAAAGGAAGATTGTATGCCTCCTGAAGTGAGAGGAAGATTAGTCATCTCCTGAAGAGGAAGATTGTATGTCTCCTGAAGTGAGAGGAAGATTAGTCATCTCCTGAAGAGGAAGATTGTATGTCTCCTGAAGTGAGAGGAAGATTAGTCATCTCCTGAAGAGGAAGATTGTATGTCTCCTGAAGTGAGAGGGAGATTAGTCATCTCCTGAAGAGGAAGATTGTATGTTTCCTGAAGTGAGAGGGAGATTAGTCATCTCCTGAAGAGGAAGATTGTATGTCTCCTGAAGTGAGAGGAAGATTAGTCATCTCCTGAAGAGGAAGATTGTATGTCTCCTGAAGTCAGAAAAAGATTAGTCGTCTCCTGATTTAGGAAGATCAGTCGTTAAATCTATTTCATTAACAATGAAAAATCTTAATCAGTAAAAAAAGGGTTTAATTAGTCAAAATTGAAGAATAATTGATTATATTAATTAATAACACGTGATAACACCAGTAACATTAACAACACATAATAACACATTACACAAAATGAAACAACATAACACACTTTAACACCATATATAACAACATAATACTAAATAACACCAAATAACATGCAATAACAGCATATAACATGTTATAACACCATATAGCATGCTATAACGCCATATAACGTGCTGTAACACCATATAACATGCTATAACACCATATAGCATGCTTTAACACCATATAACATGCTATAACACATAATCCATTCAACAAATAACACCACATAACACACAGTAACACCAAATAACACACAGCACCATATAACACGCAGTAACACCAAATAACACACAGCACCATATAACACACAGTAGCACAAAATAACACACAGCACCATATAACACACAGTAGCACAAAATAACACACAGCACCATATAACACACAGCACCATATAACACACAGCACCATATAACACACAGTAACACCAAATAACACACAGCACCATATAACACACAGTAACACTACATAACACAATAACACTACACAACACACAACGCGACACAACACACAATAACACCAAATAACACACAATAACACCACATAACACACAATAACATATCATAACAGTAAAATACCTGACCATCAGTCAGCAACAGAGTTTAAAGGGCAATTTAAATGACCAGATTAAATGCCTCACTTTAAATGGAGGAAATAAATGACTTTCGTTAAGTTTTTAATAACAGGGTTAAAGTACATAGCTTTCAGGCCGGGGTTAAATGGCTTAGTTTTAATAACGGGGTTAAATATCAGTGTAGATAACATAGTTAAATGGCTGTGTTTAAAGCCTGTAAAAGACTGCACTAAATGGCCTAAATTAAGTTCGTGTTTCAAATATTCTGAAAAAAGTTGAAAATCAGCGAAGTTTTCCTTAAATTTTTCCTACATTCTGAAAATATCTTAAATTTAAAAATTCGTTCATTTCGTGAATACAAATCATTGTTCTCACTAATAAAAATTAATTAACGTCATGGGTAGCTTCGACGCAGCTCATGTATGTAGATTTTTTTTAGGAACTGGAGATTTCTTTCACGAAAAAAAAAAATATTAGTTAATTGTGATTATTGGCAACTGTGCGTCAGGTGGGCGGAGTCAGGACCTTTAAACTCAGTGCGCGGGCAGCGCTCCTGGAGAGAGGTGGGTGTATCATTATCTCTCCCTGTAGGCATATATGACATTTTCCTCAGCTCTTTATAGAGATATAAAGTTGATTCTTACATATGTTGTAAATGCATTTTGCCTCTATGCAGCAACATAGCAAAATCAGAGGCTACTGAAATTTTTTGGAGCCTTCTTGTAAATTCATATTGACTTAATCAACAGCATCCAGTCAACATTGATGAAAATAAGATACCAGATATATTCCTGTTAACCCTCATAGAGGCCTAGTTCCTAGGCCTATTGTGCATATGTATGTTCTAGCACTGCCATCCACAGGATGGATATAAGGTGCACGATAGATCAGTCACTTTAGCCTGGAAAATCTAAAATCTAAATATTCATACAGGCTATACAGGTATACATGTGTTTATTATACATGTATACAGTTTTTCATACAGTCTGCATACCTATTTTAGCACAGTGTTTATACAGACTTTAAAAATGATTTTTAAATCCAATTTTGAGTAATAGAGATTTAAAAACATGACTCTCTCTCTCTCTCTCTCTCTCTCTCTCTCTCTCTCTCTCTCTCTCTCTCTCTCTCTCTCTCTCTCTCTCTCTCACTCTCTCTCTCTCTCTCTCTTTCTCTCTCTCTCTCTCTTTTAAAGCAATCCACATCAGTATAATCTCACTGGACATATATCACATATGTCCCTTTGATCCTCAAGGCAGAGAGGAAATTAAACTAGAATAAACTCTATGACACCGTGTTATAGAGGTCAAAACAAGCCTCTGCTCGCTTGTCAACATACATAGAGGTCATTTATATATATTAATACATAGCAAGTACAATCTTATAGACCTGAAAGGTTTATTGCAGGACGTTTTCACCTCAAGTTGTATGTCTGTGTATGTATACATAGTGATGTGTATCTCTGTGTGTACACACAGAGAGGTGTGTGTACACACAGAGAGGTGTGTGTACACACAGAGAGGTGTGTGTACACACAGAGAGGTGTGTGTACACACAGAGAGGTGTGTGTACACACAGAGAGGTGTGTGTACACACAGAGAGGTGTGTGTACACACAGAGAGGTGTGTATACACACAGAGAGGTGTGTGTACACACAGAAGAGTGTGTACACACAGAGAGGTATGTGTACTCACAGAGAGGTGTGTGTACACACAGAGAGGTGTGTATACACACAGAGAGGTGTGTGTACACACAGAGAGGTGTGTGTACACACAGAGAGGTATGTGTACACACAGAGAGGTGTGTGTACACACACAGAGAGGTGTGTGTACACACAGAGAGGTGTGTATACACACAGAGAGGTGTGTGTACACACAGAGAGGTGTGTGTACACACACAGAGAGGTGTGTGTACACACAGAGAGGTGTGTGTACACACAGAGAGGTGTGTGTACACACAGAGAGGTGTGTGTACACACAGAGAGGTGTGTATACACACAGAGAGGTGTGTGTACACACAGAGAGGTGTGTGTACACACAGAGAGGTGTGTGTACACACAGAGAGGTATGTGTACACACAGAGAGGTGTGTGTACACACACAGAGAGGTGTGTGTACACACAGAGAGGTGTGTGTACACACAGAGAGGTGTGTGTACACACAGAGAGGCGTGTGTACACACAGAGAGGTGTGTGTACACACAGAGAGGTGTGTGTACACACAGAGAGGTGTGTGTACACACAGAGAGGTATGTGTACACACAGAGAGGTGTGTGTACACACACAGAGAGGTGTGTGTACACACAGAGAGGCGTGTGTACACACAGAGAGGTGTGTGTACACACAGAGAGGTGTGTGTACACACAGAGAGGTGTGTGTACACACAGAGAGGTGTGTGTACACACAGAGAGGTGTGTGTACACACAGAGAGGTGTGTGTACACACAGAGAGGTGTGTGTACACACAGAGAGGTGTGTGTACACACAGAGAGGTGTGTGTACACACAGAGAGGTGTGTGTACACACAGAGAGGTGTGTGTACACACAGAGAGGTGTGTGTACACACAGAGAGGTGTGTGTACACACAGAGAGGTGTGTGTACACACAGAGAGGTGTGTGTACACACAGAGAGGTGTGTGTACACACAGAGAGGTGTGTGTACACACAGAGAGGTGTGTGTACACACAGAGAGGTATGTGTACACACAGAGAGGTGTGTGTACACACAGAGAGGTGTGTGTACACACAGAGAGGTGTGTGTACACACAGAGAGGTGTCCTCGCGAGGACATTTCTGAAGTATTATCAAGAGAGAGAGATAGACAGAGTGTGAGACACAGAGAGAGAGAGAGATGGCAGAGAGAGGGAGAGAAAGAGAGTATTCTGTCCTCTTCTTTACCTCATCATATTTATTCATCATTCTTCATCTCCCTTCGTCGTAAATCGCCTGAAATATTCATATATCTTCCTCTTCTTCCCTCTTCACAGTCACAGTCACAGTACAGTCCCAGTCACAATAGTCACAGTCACAGTACAGTCACAGTGCAGTCACAGTGCGTTCCCAGTCACAGTACAGTCCCAGTCACAATAGTCACAGTCACAGTACAGTCCCAGTCACAATAGTCACAGTCACAGTACAGTCACAGTACAGTCCCAATCACAGTAGTCACAGTCACAGTACAGTCACAGTCACAGTACAGTCACAGTACAGTCCCAATCACAGTAGTCACAGTCACAGTACAGTCACAGTACAGTCACAGTGCAGTCCCAGTCACAGTACAGTCCCAGTCACAATAGTCACAGTCACAGTACAGTCACAGTACAGTCCCAATCACAGTAGTCACAGTCACAGTACAGTCACAGTCACAGTACAGTCACAGTACAGTCCCAATCACAGTAGTCACAGTCACAGTACAGTCACAGTCACAGTACAGTCACAGTAGTCACAGTACAGTCATAGCACAGTCACAGTACAGTCCCAGTCACGGTAGTCACAGTCACAGTACAGTCACAGTAGTCACAGTCACAGTACAGTCACAGTCACAGTAGTCACAGTCACAGTACAGTCACAGTGGTCACAGTCACAGTACAGTCACAGTCACAGTCCCAGTAGTCACAGCCACAGTACAGTCACAGTCACAGTACAGTCACAGTCACAGTACAGTCACAGTAGTCACAGTACAGTCATAGTACAGTCACAGTACAGTCCCAGTCAGAGTAGTCACAGTCACAGTACAGTCACAGTCACAGTAGTCACAGTCACAGTACAGTCCCA